TTTTGGGAGAACAAAAATCCTGAGGATTCATGGACCTGCATAAAAACAAAGCTGAAAAATGGGATGAAAAGATAAATGTTTATTATACTGTCAAAGGCTATAATTATAAAAGGGCATTAAAATCCACCATAAGAAAGAGATAACAAGCAGAAAAAATTGGGTCATCAAACACTGCTGGAATATAAATTCCTACAAATAATTTTTTATTTATAGTTACATATACAACCACCTGTCATGATAGATTACGGTGTACCTAAGTCGTTTGGCATTAGGGCATTACGAAAAATAACTCATTTGTGGACTATGTATAGCATAAAAATGGCTGAACATTCCGTGTAGTTATTTGAGAAGAACAGGTTATGGAGGTGGTTGTTTATCCAGGTAGATCACAGAATTAACAGTTTAAAATCATGCTCACAGAAAAAACCCTGGCCTCCCATGTTAAAATAAGAACCATCCATTTTTCACTTGAAATTATAGGCACTGCCATTAAATTCCTGGCATTAGTAACGCAGGATTTCCTGAGACGAGTATGACTTGCCCAATAATTAAATCTTTGGTGCCAAGCTTAGAGCTGTGCAAGTCTCTCTGTGTCCTGTCCACGTAATTAGAGGGTAACAGCACTTTTGATGTCAATCAAGAGGAGGGCTGGGAAGTATCCTAATAAAAAATGAACAGATCTTCTCTATCAGAGTAGCTATGAGGAAGAATCAAAAACACATTTCATGAGGGCATTGCTGCACAGGAAGTGTTTCACAAACTTGAACTGCCCCATGAAAAAGCTCACTTCAATGAGGCCTCTTAGGTAGTCACTGCCTTCCGGCATGTCAAGGACATGGGGCTACAGCAGTGCAGGACAGGTGCAGTTTAAGATGAAGAACTAACCTAACAGTTTGCTATAGAAGATTAGCTCTTGATGAAGGTAACCGCCTCTCCCAGGGTAGGTTTCAGCTTGTCCTAATGACTGGCAGCAGTGGGTCAAGGATGCCAGGCATCTTTCAAAGGTTGAGACAAAGATGACTTCTCTACCCAGGACAAATTTCCAATGTCCCACCAAACATTCATTTAGAGGGAAAATGTACTTAAAAATTAACTGAGCATAGACTCTAACTCAGGTTTGTACCTATAAATTCTCCAAATATTTCATAAGCCTTCAATATGACGTAGTTTTTCCATGAATCCGATGGCCATATAAGCCAAAACAGGTCACGCTTTGTCTGAACTTTCTAAGAATTGCTCGCCACTTGCTAGGGTCTGAACGTTTGTACCCCACAAATCCCTAGGTTGAAATATGATGATATGAGGAGGTAGCACCTTTGGAAGGCAGAGCTCTCATGAGTGGAGTTAGTGCCCTTATGAAAGAGAACCCACAAAGCTCCCTTCCCCTACGTGAGAAAAAAGACAGCCCTCTGTGAACTGGCTGCTGGCTCTCTCACCAGACACTGAATCTGCCAGCACCTTCATCTTGGATTTTGAAGCTTCAAGGACCATGAGAAATAAACTTCTGTTGTTTACAAGCCACCCAGTCTATGGAATTCTGTGACAGCAGCCCAAATGGACTATGACACCATGTCACCAATTACAGCAATGCTTCTAATGACGTAGGAGTCACAAACAATCTTCTATCCATCTGTGTTTGCAGCTGTCACATCCATGGTGATTCCACTCGAGAGTGGGAATTTATTTTCATTATCTGTGGCCATACGGGAGTGTGCCAGTATTATGTGTTATGTTACATATCTTCCTCTTACTCATTTTATGCTATAATTAGGGTATTATATTTATGTTTTAAAAATGAGTACAACAGATTATCTCAAGAGAACAAAGGAAATATTTACAGACATCTAAATAAAATCCAGCACTGCTGGTTCATTTCCTTATCCATTTATTTATTTATTTTTTGTTACTTGCATACTTGGAGGATTTATATTTACATCAGAAAAAGCGCCAATTCCCTGCTGACATTTTTCTATCAACTACAATCTTGTGACTACCAAATGCTTTCACTTTTATCTTCTTTTTATACTATACTTTATCTTCCCTGCATGTTTCTAGCAATAAAGCTTTTAACATTTCGGAAGGTCAGGTGGAGCCACAGTGCCGCCGCCGGAGTGAGCCGGTGCCACCACAGGCCCCTCTGCGGCGCGTCTCGCTTTGTTCCTCTAAAAGCTGTGAAAATCATCTTCGTTTTCTCTGGCATTTCTACTTGAACAGGTGACCAAACTTTAAAATCATGCCAAATGTGCATTCTTAACTCCATCAAATATATTCTTTTCTTGATGTACGTGATGTGTTCCTTTGATTATATATTAGACATTCACAAATTGAAACAACTTGAGGTCTCGTCACGTTTTCATAGCTTCAACAAGATAACTTTGTTTTAATTAGACGGAGCCAAAACAAAAAGAATACAACAAAACCCCCACTCCTATCCAACCTTACCATTTGTGACGTGCCCACTGTCACACGCAAGTTTATAATCAGTCATTATCAGGGTAAGCATCCCTTTTCTCAGATGAAACTTAAAAACAATGTTTCCAAGTATATTACGATGATCGCTCTTCTGACCGTATAGAATTCCATCCCGCCCTCAAACACCCTGCTGGCTGCTCTCCGTAGGGAGGACTGATGGCCAAGGCGAAGAGCCCGATGCTGTGACACTGGGATATGCTTAGACTCAGCGCTTGTGAGAACATGAGTGGAAGGGAGAGGACGCCTACTCCCAAATCCGTGACTCATTATTCTGCTGCAGATGTTAAAACAAACAAACAAACAAAAAACAACAAAACCAGAAACAGAATCAGGCAAGAGACAATCCACTGTCTCGGGCCTAACTAGGGCCTTGAGCGATCCCAGTGCTTGCTAATCTACAAGCAGGAATCACTTCTCATGTGCCTGCACATTTCATACGTGTATCCAAGAAGCAACGATCAGGTCAGTCAAGTTCAGAATGCACCTATTTTCTGTTCCACCTCAGTTGGCAAGGGATTTGCAAGATGTGTTCCACATCAGTGCACTCTGCTCGAGGCAGTGGGAAAGAGAGAAGTCTGAGAGATATGGTAAAAGTCCTAAAGACCACATGGTCTAGGGCAGAGCCAGATATACCCATACTGCTATTCGATAAGTCAGGGAGCACACGTATAAGATCTATAAGCAAATGATCAGAAAAAGATCAGTGAAAACTATGTTTCTCTAAGTACCTTTGTGAAGGAAGGGGCATTTGAACTGGATCTTGCAGGATAGAAAGGCAATGAGTAAATAATTAAAAGATTTTAAATGATGGAATAATACGATTCTATTTGTGATTTAGAAAGGTAGTTCTGGCAGTAATGCCAACAGGCATCATTTACTCACAATATGATGAAGCTGATAGCCTAGCTCCTTTCCTTAGAATTAAACAACAAAAATCAAAAGACTCCACTACCGCTGAACCATACCTTGATGTAAAGTTGTGCTTCACTTGTGCAAGAGATTTTAACTATATGGCAACTGTGTACTAGGAACTGTGCCCTAGATATTAGAGGGAGGAAAAGAGAGCGCTCCCATTGAGAGGGATCAATATACATTCATGTGATGGGCACCATAAAAAAAAATATGACAAAGTAAAATAATACCCTTAGTCTGGATATCAAAGGAGGGGCACAAGGGGGCGGGATGGAGGAAGCGGCACTTGGGGGACAGCAGTGCACACACATCCGTCAAGCACTAAGAATGGAAGAGCTTTATAAAGAACATGTCAAATGAGAAAAGATGGCAAAGGAGATTGGAGCAGCAGAAACCCACCACTTGGGGGACTGGCAGAGGAACAATTGACGAAGGAAATAAAATAATTAGAGGGTCAGGGGGAGAACCTAGACAGCACAAAACAGTGAAGATGTTTGAAGAAAAAGGGAATTCATTAACAATAAATGGCATGGAAAGGACAAGTAAAGCAAAGCCATCAGACTTGGCCTGGGGAGGGGGGCGGGGTCACCGGGGTCACTTGCCAGAACACCTTCTGTAACGAGACTGAGTCTGACTGTGGAGGAGGCACAGTGTGAAGTGACACCAAAGCCCAAAAGCCCCAGGATCTTGACAATGAGTATTGAACATTAATGTTTTAATAGAAATAAGATTTTTAAAAAGTGTGTATGATAAAAAAAATAAAGACATAAAAGTATCAAGGATGGAGTGATGAAAGACAAGGTGTTTGATAATCCCATTTCATTCTAACAATGATTACAATGTTCCTAATAATAAACAATGGAGTATTTCAATGTTGAATTTTAATTTTTATCTTGAGCTTGCAGGTGGCAAGATTTTCCTTTTGGCAGTTTGACAGCTATGCTTGAAAGGGTCCCAGGACCTTAGTAGGTATCAGCTAGACAGATGGTCAAAGTACAAAGACATTCTGCATCTTATTTTTTTTTCCTAGAGGTCTTTAAAACCAAATGGTGTCATTAGAACGTTAAGCTTATTCAGCACTTTACTACTCATGTAGACAAGGTGTTTTAAAAGCTTTCTCTATCCTACCACATCATAGATAAAAGATGACAAAATAGCTCCACTCCACTAAAGACACACGAAAAGGAAAAAGACCCCCCAAAATAGGCTTAAAATAAAATTACTTTTTAAATAATTATCTTTTAAATCAAATTTTTTTGTTAAATAAGTAGTACACAGGAATAATGTGGATGGCGGTGGTGACATTTAGAGTACTGTCACAAATCAAACTGCTTGTCCTTGTAAAGAAAAGCCTTATTTCCTAAGGCAACAACGTAGATGACTAATGCTTTTCACTATATTTTTATAGTCAATAAAATAATCTAATTATCTTGAGGAGTAAAATTATAAGCGGCCAACCTCAAGTGACATAACATATATCAATGCATGCACTGAAGTAGAAAGGAATTCCTAATGTTAATCTTTAGAATGACATAAAATGTAGGAATGACATCATACAGGTACTATTTCTTCATACTATAGGGAATTTAAGAATCCCTGGCATGAAAATCACTTACCTAGCTCTTCGTTTTCTATGACTTCAAATGTGGCCCAGATATCACCTTTTGTAGGAATAATATTTTTTATTGCTAATATATCATTAGTTAATTCTTCTGCCTCCATCACTGGAGATATCTGTAAAAAAAAAAAAAGCAAGATTTCTTTAGAACCTATGTCAGACACAGACGTAGCCACGTGCTAGGGCAACAATACTTGCTAATCCATCATCTTGTGATCCCCAAAGCTGCTTCTTAGTATGTTTAACTAGCTTTTTTAAGTACACAGAGAAAATAGCCTATTCAGATCTTCTCCATAAAATATATTTTAATGTTAGTGCAAAAAAGTTATTACAACATAATCAGGAAAAAATTTTTCTCAGTGAGCAATCAGGTCACTCAGAAGGGAAGAATACACTTATTCACACACACAAAGACCACCACAAGATAGCAAATCTGATGGTCTTCCGAGGATAAAACCTTTGCTCGTCAGTTCTATAATCAAGAGTTCAAAGCGGCTTGGTTTATTCAGGCTGAGGCCTAAATCACACACAGCCGACTGCTGCCTGCCATGCCAAAGAGCCCCAGGGTTTCAGAGGTCTGTGGTGCGCCCTGCCATGCCAAGTGACAGATGGTGGGACACCAAAGGACGCTGCAGCCCAGATTTCAGGACACAGGGCAGGGTCTGAAGAGCCAGCCTGGGGCCAGATCTACAAGAGCCTGAAAGCCTCAGGCCACTGCATAAGCACACCGCCTTCTTCAGGGACTTCTGGGATTTCTGATTTGTTTCTTCTTGTTTTTACTTTTGCCAATTTTAAATGCAAGCTTGCCAGAAGCAAGCTCGCTTTCTTCATTTAGAATTTAATTATAATATTAAACAAATAAAAGATCTTTTTAAGCGTTAGAAGAGTCTAACTGCACGTTTTCAGTAAAAGTATGTTAACTATTTTTAAAGTTTCTTACAGAAAAAATGTGCTCACTTCCATTCCTCTTGTCCATTAATTATATTACACATACATACATAATATCAATATATTTTATTCTAACTAATTTATACAGCCCATCTTTTAGACTTTGTAGAATCCAGTACTTTCTTTGGAATACATTAACGGGACATGAAATCCACTGTTTACCATTTAGAAAAGCCCAATAATGTATAAGCTTAAAAGAAATAAAAACAGTATCTGGGAAAAGCAGAGAACTTTAAGCAGTAGAAACATCAGTAGATGAATCATTTCAATGATGCTGTTCATCTGAATGCCTTTATCATTTTTTACGTATAGCCTTTTCTTTAAATAATAAATTACTGAGACACCGAATCTGTGCACTAGTCAGCAAAGAGCGAGCCCCAGGCTGACAGAGGAACAGAGACCCGAGCGCCGCCCCCCTCCTGGGAGGAGCCCGCGCCTCTCTCAGGACACCTGGAGCTCCACAGAGGGCCCTGGAAATCCTGACTCTAAAGAATGCGAAAGTCAGCAGAACGAACATCTGGTTTGGAGTATGATGGTCCAGGTTGGAGCTCTGGCCTTAATTTTTCTTTCCTGGTTTCTGTTCTTACAAACTTGGGACACTGACTGCTTTATCTGCCTCCTTGGGGTCAGTGACAGCTGAGATAAATGTAACTAAGATTCTTGCAAAGCCTTAAGCATTAAGCAACTGTTAATGATTATTTTTGTATAGCTTTGCAATGTTTTTAAAGAGAATTTTAAGGTGAAACCAGACAGTCCTTTGTCTAAATACTGCTCTTAAAATAACAAAAAATTTGTTCCTTTGTATTAATTTCTGTTATGGCTTCATTAGTAAGATAAAATTAAATGAGTTTAGGTGGGTGTAGAATTAAGTCATGTGCTGTGAATACCAATTCTAACATCAGAGCTGTGCTGGCCCCTCAAGCCCTCTACGTCACTATCACGTGATCAGCGTGAGAAACAGGATGTGGATAAGGAGTCGTGATCCCAGAGCCTATGGTCATAGTCCAGCCCCATGCTGTAAGTAAGGTGATCCATGCTGTGCAGTCAGAATATGTAATTATTAAAAAATATCTAAATGAACGATTACAACACGGGTTTTGCAAAACTAAAGTCAAGAAGTACATAATATTAAGACTGTTTAATCTTGAACTTTGAAAAAGGTAAGAAGCTAAAGATGAGTATCTACTGCTCGATGGCAGAATGCCTATTTCTCTTACAGAGGCCATGATCCTACTCAGCAGGGCCTAGAAATACAACTGCTGCTCTTGGGAATGCTGACTAAGTCCTGAATGTAGTGGCATGACAAGGACCTTTTAAGTTCATGAAAATGATTACTAGTCTTAGGAAAGAAAAGAGTTATCGAATATTCAAGTAAATTGGTAGACTGGAAGCTCAAGTCTATGACACAAGGGTGGGAGATTAATGTAACAATAATATTAATAATAATAGTTATTAAACATGTGCTCAGCAATTTGCTAAGTGTTTTACATGCATTCTCTTATTGAGTGTTCATATTAATGCTATCATGGAAATGCTATAATTTTTCCTCACTTTACAGGTGAGAAGACACAGGCTCAAACAGAGTAAATAACTGGACTAATGATGAGAACCTAAGAAGGAAAAAGAGCAAAAATTTAAGCTCAGGTTGTTTTCTAGAAACTGTAGATAGAAAATCCTAACCTTAACTTAAAGCACGTAAGAGGTACTCTTTCCAAATGACTAAAACATGGAATTCCGAGAGGATATTGGTTTGAAAAGTCGGTCCTGTCATCATGGTTTGAATTGGATACGTAAAATAAGCTATAAGAAACGATGAAAAATTAAAAACATATAAATTAATGCTAACACTTGAGACTTCCAACAGTGCTCTTTATAGCCATCTTCAGGACTCACCCGGATTATATTACTGCAGTCTGGTTCCTTCCTTTCTACATAGACTTCAATTAACAAATCTCCAGCCTGGGAAACCTAGAAAAGGGCAGATGTGAAGACAGCAAATATAAGTATGCTGCAAGAGCACATATATGACACTTAGTTAGAAAGTCCTAGTCCTATATCTAAATATTTTATAATAGTGAAATCAGCCCATCTCCCCAGTACCAGCATGATGATACCCATTCACAAGACATGGTGGATTAAGGACAAGGAATCTACACAAATGTTACCATCAGCAACAGTCACTGTGAGGCTTTTTGTCTCTTACTGAAGAGTTTAGAGTTTTCAAATACTCTACATTCTTACAGAAACAATGAATCTGGCTAGAATAAAAGTATGTATACTATAGCAACAGATGTTCTTAAACAAAATAAGGAGTAGAAAATGAGCCACATGTAATTCTTCTCTAAGTGACAGTGTAGGCCTGACACCAATAATTAAAAGGGGAAATAGGGCCTGCTAAATTTTTAGAGAAAATGTGTCTAAAAATTGAATCTGAGGATAAATTAGGTCAGAGTTGCACCACAGAGAAAGTATACTTAGCAAAAAAGCAAAACAAAAAAACATAAAGGTGGAGTGATAAAATGAGACAGATAATAAAGATAAGTTTTTAATTATCTTTAGCCAAGCATTAATGCTATTTTGGGTTGCTATTATACCTGAGAAGACATACTAAGTGAAGAAGATACAAGCCAGAAAATAACAAGCTTAGATACTGTTATGTAGAGTTTGACGGTATAATGTGGAAAAGATTAACAAAGAACCAAATGAACCTATGAAAAATATTTTGAGTAGCTTTTTCTAGAAACTCCCTTAAGTTGTGTAACCACTTAGAAATAGTATCCACCATCCAACTTGTAATAGGGAAAGGATCATTCTGAAGTTAAATTTGCCTCAGAGTAAAACCTAATGAGTCAAATTTGGGGAAAACATTAAAAATGCACTTTGAAGAAGAGTTCTTAATTATTCTGACACTGTTGGCTTAGGAAAGCTTAGAAAAGCTTGTTTCCAATTTTTCTTTCTCACTTTCGATGCTATACAAAAATCCTACGGAAGAAGAAATACAGTTGACATTTTTACTTTTCACTGTGTTTGCATAAACAATTCTCCAGGAAGGACACATTTTTAAAAATTAAAAAAGCAAATACCACACACTCAAAGAGTGAAGCCAAAAACAAGCACAGCTAAGCAATTCAAACAGGGGCAAGAGAGACTGTCAGAAAAGTACTCCAGGGAGGGCTGAGTGGAATAAAGAAAAGCTCAAGCAAAAACAGATTTACCTAAACATTTCTTCCCTTTCCAATTCTTCTATTTTAAAGATGATTCTTTCCTTATTCTTCATCAGAAAGCATTCAAGACTCATTTCTTTATTGTAATACGAATATAAAAGATAAAAGTACGGAAGGGTCCTCGTGCTTTATGTACAACAGGATAGGTGATTCTGTCAAACGGTTAACCCGTGGGCTCACACAATCCCTTATTTCATGAATGAAACTCTCCCCCCAAAAGCAAGAATCCCAGAGAACTGACAGTGAACCACATTTTGTAGTGTTACAGCTAAAAAACCCTGGAGGCTGCATTAATTACTTTGGGTCAAAATGGAGGAAATGCTTCTTCAGGAAATTAGTTCCCTGATATTGGCACTCGGGGATCAAGGCTATAAAATGAAAGCCTTTCCTCATCTCTTTTGTATAGAACGATAGCTCCATGGCTTCTCTAATTAGGAGTGGATCTTTCAGGAATGAGGTGAGTTTAGGGTGTGACTAATAAGGAAGCATTTGTCTCATTCTCTGAGTGCATCTAATAAGCAGAATATATTTGACCCACTTCTATTCTTTACACTGGTACTCTGACTACCCTACAATTCCCAGTTTAAGAAGATTTAAGATCAATTTTAAGCAAGTCTAATGAACAGTCATCAAGCAAGGAGAGGTATTCAGCTGTAGTACAACCTGAATACACAAATCCAATACTACTGAAGAAAGCAAGAGCAACTCTAGAACAGTCAACTTAAGACACAAATTAGCATATGTCACAAAGACCACACAGAAACATTATTACTAATGCAGTCCTCCCAGGCAAAGCAAAAGCACATAAGAAGTAATTTATATGTTCAAAGTCATAATAGACAGAATCATTAGGGAGCCTCAATTTTCAACCTGCTCCAGAAATTTTGGCTTTAAATGCTTCCTGTGAAATCCACTGGCATTTTCAATAATGCGTTTATAAATAAAAACTGATTTTATAAAGGATATTCTGGTAAGGTTAACACTGATTTTTCCTTCTGTATTTTGAAAAATTTACATGAATCAAGTTTGGCATTTTGCATATCTGCATCATGCTGAAGAAGTACACAACCATTTTCTGTGGAGTCCCTTTGCCCATTAACTTTACTATGCTTCAGGTAGAAACTTGAAAATAAACACAACAAATGGCTTTACTTACAATGGAATTTTTGTTTGTTTTGTTTTGTGGGGTTTTTTTGAAAGACATTTAAAATTCTTTGCAGATCTAACTATTACTACTCACTTGAGTGTCTTTCCACTTGGTAATAAAGCTATTTTCTATGTCCATTTGTTTGACTTGGTCTTCTTTAACCTGTTTAAAATATAATTTGGGACATTCTGATAAAATACATGGAGTGATGGTACTCATCCTCACATAAGTTTCTTCAGGACTTTACAGATCAACAGGTAAAAATAACTGAGAATAGCCATATTAATTGGTGTGCGCCCACAGAGCTGGGGCAGAAATGAAGCCAACAAAACAGAGCTGCACAAAAGCCTGAACACTTTATGATGATAGCATTGCAGGCCACAGATTCCATCAATGGAGGTCCCTCTGCCAAGGCAGTTTAGTAAGCAAAGGGGCAGATGACTGGTTTGTAGAGTTTATGCAGGCTGAGAGACAAGACTGTCTCCTCAAACTAAAATATTTATTAAGTGCTTGTGAGATTTCCACCATTTAAAATTGGATTTAACAAAACTAGGAAGAAAATCTTTTATATTTTTTATTAATGAAACAGTACAAATATAAAAAATAAAGAGAGCATGCAAAGCCACACATTTTTTACTAATTCTTTCATTTCTCAGCATTAGAAGTATTGCATAGAAGTTGCTGTTGATCGAAAACAGTGAACACATACAGAAAGAAATAAGAGGATCACAGAGCAAAGAGAATCCGACAACTCTGGTGTCCATTCCTATATAAATTAAGATACAAACCATGGTTATTTTATTTTAAAAATACAGTTTCTCTCCCTGTGCTTAGGAATCTTATGATCAGTTATTATAAGGATATAAGAACTTTACAAATAATAACCCAGTGCATTAACTCATTTGGTTTCGTCTAGTATATCTATAGCACCAGAAAACAAGTGATCTGATAAATCACCATTTAATGGTGTGCTCAGAAAGGTTAAATGACAAAACTGACATGCCAGAAATGATGGTAGAGCTGGTCCGCTGACCTAGGTCCCCTGCATTCCCTCCATTTTCAAATCCTGGCCTTATTTCCTGTTTTTACTTTTTTGAACTAAGAAACCATCCCTATCCTAATGGTTTTTTGATCAAACATGAAAATATTAACTTTATGAAATAGCAAATTGAAGTTAAATAATTAAAACACAAATGACTTAGTAAAAAACCACAGAACCATATTTTAGAACTTTCATGTTTTCCCATTCAGTGCTCAGTGAAAACAGGAAGATGCTTTCAACTGCAGAATTTAACAGTCTGGTGTTTATGACTGAATTTGTAAATTCATAATTTCACACCTCTAAGTACACATACTGAGGAGGAGAAAAATACACAAAACACTATAAATAGAAATATTCTAACAGACAGCAGATGGTAAAAAAGCTTTAAAACTATCCAGATTTACAAAACTATCTATATCTAAAAAATTAAACTATCCTCTATTTTCTTTTATTTTAAATATTAATAAAGATCTGAATAAAAACATCCTAAAATATGTATTTTTGTTTGCAAACAGTAACAAGAATACATTTCAACAAGAGCAAGATATACCTCAAGTATTTCAAATATTTACCTCAAATATTTCAACGTAGTTATTAATTAGGTCCTCGATGACATTTACTTCTTCACTAGTTTGTCCCTTAGTTTGAAACAAATAGGATGAAAAGACCAAGGCCAAATTATGGGCATTCATGTGATTGATTTCTGAGCATTTCTGAACCCTGTTGAAGAAAAGCATAGCTCATTATGACACACTTCTATTTGAAAATTTCATAGAACTGTAAGTCATAACATTCATTTATCATTTTTAACACATATTGAAGGTCTCAGATATAAAAGGTGCAGGGGTGATTTAAAGATAAATACACAGTTCTTTCTTCCAAGTAGCTAACAGTGTAGTTAAGAACATAAGAAAAGGCTACTGTTAAAGACATTACTACAAGTTACAAAGCAGTCCTTGAGTGCTCATTTAGAGGGACATGCTGTATCCAAACACTTCCAGGTAACGGGACAACCTATGGTTAAGGTGGAAAGGTATGCTTGCAGAATACCTTTGGGACTGAGCTGGGACCTGTGGGACTGAAGCATAAATGAAAGGGGATAAGGAAGTGGTAGGTAAGTAAGGAACAAGGCAAGAAAGGTTAATCGGGAGGCATATAGTGGAGAGTGCCAAATTCAATGTTCAGGGCTGGGCTGAATGTTCCAGAAAGTGCATTATCAAAGTGAGAATACCTGGCAGCCATGTTTGTATATTCATTCAAAAATAGAATATTAGCTCTGGAAAAGCAAACACAATTTAAAAATACAACTATGCTTTTCTTGAATATAACTAAGAATTGCTTTGCATAATGAATAGAAATGAACAGACAAGTCAGTTCTCCCAATCAGTAGACTACATCTGGGCCTTATGAAAGGCATTTAAAGTAGTCACAAATGTAAGTTCAAAGAGATTAAAATTAAAAAAAAAAAAACTACAGCAATCACCATAGTATAAGAAAATGTATGTTGATAAAAATTCATGAGATGAGAACAGTAAGTTGATCTACACAAAAGTATCTACTAATGCTCTCTATCTGACACTGGCTGTATGTATAGCAGCCCCTTACTTGCCTAACGACATCTGCCAAGTTTAGGAAACATACTAAACAAGGGAGAGCAACTCCATCAAAAGAATAAAGCAAGGTTAAAGTAGGTACACTTGTCTGCAAGAACAGGGATTCTAGTAGGTACAAGAAAAAGTGAGTAAAAATGACAGCTATATATGAGAAACAATAAAATGCCAAATTGCATAGCAGAGATGGAGCAAGTGCATTCATTCTACATGATCTACAAGATGCACAAGGAATTACAAGTTGATAGAGAAGAAATGTCATAACTTTGGACACCCCTCTCAAAACCACTTCTGTACTCTTATCACACTATGCTGCGAACACGTGGAAAATTTATCTGCATGTCTGACTGTTACTAGAATCAAAGCATCTCACAGTTGGAGATTTGTTTTAATCACACTGTAGTACATAATAAATATCTGGTGAATGGAATTAAGGGAATGTTAGTCATGGAGGAAGTAATCTTTTTTCTAGGGTAAGGATGGAATTAAATGCTCAATCAACTTGACCTTATCTGAACTGACCTCAAACTTCTGATGATACTATCAAACATTTTCACCTTGCTTGAGACTTCCCTCTGCAAAAGCATTTTCCTCTGGTATTCTTTATCTCTTTTTACTCTCTGTAGCTGCCTTCATTTCTGCCTAAAGTACAATATAGTATTTTCCTTTTCTTCCTTTCTCAGCCCCCACATGCTAGCATTCCCCAGTGTTCCTTATTCAGCCTGTTCTGTCTCTTCTCACCCAGGCCTTCTCATCAGAAGTCCAAGCAAACTGTTTCCTAATTAGTTTCTCCACCTCTATTCCAACCTCTTCCTGACCCATCCCCTTACAGGGGTCATTATCCTAAAACAGATTTAATCAGTCATTCCCTATCCCTTACAGGAATAAGGTCCAAATGTTTTTGCGTGATTGACTGAGCCTTTCAGTTTCCTGCCAGACAGCTGCAAGCCAGCTCGTCTCCTAGCACGCCTGTTTCCTAGAAACTATCCTTTGCTCATTTCTTATACTTATCACTACTTCATGCCTGAATGGCACATGTCTCTTTAAATCTGAAGCATCCCCTGGACCTCCAGGCACAATGAATGACTCAATCCCTCCTCTAAAAGTCCATGGCTCGTGATAAAAGTCTCTGTATTAAAAATGTCTCCCAATGATGCTGGGCTGTGTGCTCCCTTAAAGCACATCAAAGGCCCCGCGGCACCCTGTGTCTCACCGTGCCATCCCAGGCTCCTTGGTGCTCAGTGCAGGAACTGCGGACTTCAGACCATTTTTGTAACTTATGTATTATTACCAAATATTTCTGTTCACATGGACTCTGAAAAGACATTGCCTTGTACACAACAGAAGCTAAAATATATACGTCCGTTGAAGAAAAGGAGGGAGGGAGCAGGGACGGGAAGGAACTTGTTATCTCAAATTCAAACCTGAGTTAAGAATTATAAAAATGATGTAAAACTCAATGTTTAAAATATTAATAAATTGTAGCCTCCTGATCACTATTAAAATTTTTGAAGGAAAAAAATCTGTCCCAATGTCTCATAGGCTTTGAGATAAGACTATATAAGCTGTATGAGTATGTTTATATGGTGCAATATGAAAATCAGCTTTAAAGTAATGGAGTTTACATGCATGGGAAGTGGTGGCTGGAAAAAATGACAAGAAAAGATAGATTGTGGAGGATTTCTGAATACAGACTCCAAAAAAGTACTTTGATCAGAATTAAGTTTCGTCGAAATTTATTCAAGGAAGTGGTGCACCCATTCACGTAGCTACCACAATATATTCCTGACGCAAGATTTACATTTAATAAAGTCTCTGTGATAATTTTCGCTGATAGCAAAACAAACCATCCATTTTAACATAAAAGGTTACTCTCAAACGTCCTCCTCCCTCAGGGATCGCTTCTCAAGCTACCATCACACTCCTTTTATCCTCCCGAAGCAAGTGACTACACGCCCTGACACAGAAAGTGTTTCTGACTTCTAAAATTCCCTCATTTGATCAACAGCCTGACACCAACATTAATTAGAGTCTGGTTAGATAAAACCGATGATAAAGAAATGAGAGTCTAGGAAGAGTCCATGATGGGGCGCTGCCAGGCTCACAGATGGATCCCTGCTATAGAATTCTGGTCACTGCGCTTTCTTCCCTTCTCCAACTCCCTTCTTAAATGAGTTTTCATATTCTTGCTTATGCACTTCAGGATGCTGTACATGATTACTTTTAATTCTTTTAAGAAACTCTCTACTGCTATTTATTTAAAATGCATCTTAATTACAGAAAGAGACACTGCAGTGACAGTTTAATGGGACTTTCATTTTGAAACCATTCTTAAGATACAGTGAAAGATTCGTGGTCACAGGTAGAAGGTTAACCCAGGAAGTCAAGTACTTGGAGAAATCAGGTGCCATGTTTGAAATAAACTAGAAAATTCATGAATCCACTCACCTGTAAAGGTGTTCAATTATAGCTGCCAATGTTGCTCGGTTGACCCCTGAAAGACTACGTATAAATGTTCCGTATTTTTTAATTCTTTCCTTGTCATCTTGGGTATCTAGAGGTTAAAAAAAAAAACAAACCACGTTAGGCCTACAAATTTGTATTACAAATTTGCCTTTTAACAGTATTATAAAATGATGTTCACAATTGTTTTTTACTAAGTGATACAACCAAGTTTCAATAGAAAAATATTAAACTTCTACAATTCTGGAAAATTATCTATATAAACATCCCATGGCTATATGCTATAGTTCTTATACTTTGTAATTAAAAATAAGCACCTTTAAAGCCCAGGGTTGTATTTTATCTTCTATTTCACAGACCACAGAACTTCACCTAATAGGAATATATTCCATTAAAAACTCAAAATGGAGTGAAAACTGAAAAGATAAGCCAAAAGTATTTTAACTCTGGCTATGGAGAAATTTCACTATTTGTATTTGAAAACATTTCTGTTCCTTTGTCCCTTGTGAAATCACAAAAATCTTCCCAAACTAAAACCATTCCAGAGCTATGAACTACGCGTTACCCAGCAGACGCATGGAAAGGAAATTGTACTTGTCCTGATATCTTCAACTCCGGAAAAGGAAAGGGGACAACAGAAGCCGTCACACGTAGGCACTGATGACCAAGATACTGACTTAGAGGAGGATGGACCCTCTGCCTTAGTCGTGGGCAGAACTTGGTTAGTCATGGAGAACAGGACCAGAAAGAATCACCCTCTACTCTCCTATCCCCAGGAAGTCAAGTACTTGGAGAAATTAGACACAGGAACCCCTGAAGTTCTAGGTCCCAGAAGAAGCGTAGTGATGGTTTGGTGTAGTACTCACAGGGGAAATAAAAGACTTTCTTCAAATAAATAATTTCTGCTGACTTTCAAAGGGGATTGTACTTATACAGAGGTTGGCAAAAAGAGGTTTCCAGTTGTTTGTATGGAAAAAAGACATGTAGGTTATGAGTATTATGACTGCTTTATTAACTTAAAAGAATGTCACAATGCAACCGTAAACCTGCTTTTGCTCACTCCTATACATTTCCTCACAATCACCAACTATCTTTGGAAACAAGACTTTTTCATTTTCTGTTTAGCCCTACCTATTCTATTCTCAGAAAGCCAGCAGCACTTTAATGATTCTTTGAAAGTACAAGGTCACTTGTAAAGGGCGTTAGGATCCTTGGTGAAATAAGAAACTCTGCGACACAGTTTTGAAATACACTCCTATTCAAAACTGCAGCTTATAGTCCTTTTATACTGATTTAGCCCGCACAGAGATCTATAAAAGTAAACACCATCATATTGACATATCTGCACTGATAGATGAATGATTCTCTAAAAGCAAGAGGGGCAAACACCCAAATGACATTGAGAGATTATACTGGAAATGAATTAAGAAGTAACTATCATCTCTTGTATAATCCAAACATTTACCCTCATGTCATGCAGTTTCTAACTGTAGGAGTGACTGTAGCTATTCAATAAAAAATACTACTACACTTGTAATGAGACATCATGTTAATATAGCATGTTTTCACAAACAAATACAAACAAAATAAATGATATTTTCAAAATAAAGCTTAGGCAAATAAAAAGTGAAACTTTTAGAGTTCAGGTCACACAGAAAATATAATGAACTATTCAACTGGCCTCAGTGATAAGAAGATTTCATAGTGTTCTCAGAACAGAACACCTACGGTATAAGCAGGTGCTACGTCTGTGAAGCACCCTTTGCCTTTGCCTATAAGCATGGGCTGCATAGGACCCGAGAGAGCTCTCTCATGAGGTCGCCCGGAGAGTTCTGGTTTAGCCTTGTCAGACCCAACACAGAGCACATCTGAAAAGTCAGGGTGAGGACTATACTGGGTTTAAAACCGAAGGACTTTAAGACTATTTGACTCAGTATTCAAAGCCTTCCCCAAGTCAATTCTCAAAGAATTCATGTCCAAGTGAGAGGTGAATACATTCCTCTCTAACGCCTGCTGCCATTCCCCAACTGCCTCTTCCAGAGAGACTGATATTCAAGGCATCTTTGTCATTGAATTGGAAGCTGTAGCAAAAGCGTATTTCTCACAGATTTTTGATAACTACTTTTATAATAAAGACAAACTGTAAGTCTTTATAAAATAGACACTATAAATAACTTCATAAATTCCAATAAAATCTTTTTAAAACAAAATGAGGGTGGCAAGGGCTTAAGGAGATGTATCATCTAATTCCATATTTTATATCCCAGAAAATTATACAATCAACTCTTCTTGTGATTTGAGAAATATCAGGAAGCAAATAAAAGACTCTGAATTAGGTTCATTGTGAAAAGCTTTATTTTAATAGCAGTACTACTCTCTTCTGGCTGGCACTAATAAGGGTCATTCCTAGGATACTTTTTTAAATTGTGGATGTTTTGTGACATCATTTCAAAATTAATCCTTTCAAATATCATGTTTATGTTTTAGAATAAATAAGTATTTTCAAGGAAAAAAAAGTTGAGGAATACTCTACTGTCCAATTTTAAGGTTGTTTATTCCCCCCCCAAATTCTTAAAACATATTAAATATGCAAGAAAGAAATATATTAGTAAATTATGGCATAATTGAATAATAAGAAAAATAAAATAAAACCTGGAAAAGATGAAGATTGAAAATCACTTTGCAAGCACTGAAAATATTTGAGATTTCTTAATAAAATAAAGACATATATAAATTATAGATGCAGGCAAAGACTATAAAATAAAATGTAAAAATAAAAAGCTCTATTACAAAGATGGGATTAAAGGCAACATTTATGTTTTAAAGATTTTATTGTTGTAATATTTCTATAAAGGGAGTTGTTTTAAATTAATGGATAGAAATACAAATTTACTGAAGTCACTTTGGCCAAATTAGTCATTTTATTGTTTTTCTAGGGTCATTTCTTAAATAGGTTCTCTTACATTGAAGCAAAGCTTTTTAATTTCATTAAACACCATCCAGAGGAAATGAATAAGGAGTAAAAATTGTCATTATGTACTCCAAACAGGAAGAGTAAATGTTGGAGGAAAGCCAAAAGGACCATGTAGTAAACCAATCTTATAGTAAACCTTTCATTTTAATCTTAATGTGAAATTAATAGCATGAATGGACTTGACTATCACACTTGCCAAGTTCAAGCAGAGTAAGAACTAAGAAATCTACTGAAAACTAGGTATATGAAACATTACTTAGCAACTGTTACTACAAATCCCTCTTTAGATAGATACAAACAACTCCTGCTATTTACACAATTTCTTCTGAGTCATATGTCCATTTTCCCCTTCAATTACATTTTCCGAATCTCAAAGAAGAGTTTGAAAAATCTGATTATCTGTTTAAAGGCAAGCGTTCATGATAGTTTACACTACATGTATTACCTAAAGCAGAGATCCAGTATGGATAGAGCTCCTTAGCAAGAAGTGCATCATCAATGTCAGACAGAAACCTTTTCAACACACCGGTCACATCTTCAAGCTGATGTTTTCCAGCTCTCAGTTTGAAGCTTCTTGCGTCTTTTTTGAAGCTCTCCAGGAGTTCACTTACATGCAAAGGATCACCATTCTTTTGATAGATATATTTGCACCCTAAACCTTTGTTTAAAAATAAAAAGGTTATATGAAACAAAAATCTAAAATCAAAATCCACTTTGATATCTTAAAAATTGAACAAATTTTTGCGTTGGGATGATGAGCAAGACAAAATCATTGTCTAAGAACTGACAGAATCATGTATGAGGGGGAAAAGCCTGCCTCCCTAATTTTAGTATTCACAGTGTGAACCTGAAGAAATATTCCAGCCTCGGCTTTTAGCAAGACGCTGGTCAGCCCTTTCCCAGTTCTTTGCAGTATCTTTTTAAATTGTCCTTCCATAGCAGCTGCCCTAACTTTGCTTAGTCCCCTGGAATACAAACTGGCCTCCAGTTTTACTGACAAAAGTGAGGCTCTCTCGTATACATTTCCTCAACCCTCTGCCCTCATATTTGTATATTAATGCCTGTCTGTTCCCACCTTCACCTTCTTCTAGATAGAGAACTGGGTATTCTTTTTTTTTTAAATGAAGTTATTGGTTTGTCAAGTGCCCCATATAAAATAAGAAAAGCAGCAGTGGTTAGGATAAGCAGGCGTGATGATGATGATGGCAACAAAACTGATGATATGAAAAAAAAAATCCGCCCTTACCCCAGCCCTCCCTGGTCTCTTGTTTCTCATCCTTACAAAACTAAGCTCAGTTTCCTGTATTTATTGTTTCTACCATCTCACATCACTGTTTATCCTTTAACTACACATTCTGTGCCCAATTCCCGCTCTATTAGGACAATCTTCATCGAGAATATCAATGACAACTATATACTACATGCTATTCAGTTTTTATCTCATGAGAATCCTCTGCAGTTTTTGTCACTCCATGAGTCCCCATTAAAATTATTTTAATCTCATGGTTTTCATGGCATCATGTCATACCCCCCCTTCCTCTGTGGCTACTCTGCCAGTCTTCCCTTTCTTCTGCTCATCTAGTATTTACTGGTGATTCCAGGAAGCCAACCTGAATCTTTCTCTCTCCCTACTTCCCCACAAAACTCTCTGGATAAACCCACCCAAACTTATTGCTTTAACTGCTGCATACAAAGAAGACACATTTTTCATTTTCACCAATAACTTTGATTGATTTGGATACTGTGAGTATGTCTGCTATCTCCCACTATTGGCTTCTAGAGGGTAGAGGCCAGGGGTGCTGCCAGACATCTTCCAATGCACAAGACAGCCCCACAACAAAAAAATTATTTGGTCACAATGTCAATAGTATCAAGAAACTTTGCAAACCACTTTTGACATGCTCAATCAGTCACAACACCTTCTCCATACACTGCACAAACCCGTTTTTGTGTTTCAGTTGCGTTTTCAACTTTCTTGCAATAATAAAGCATAATAAGCCAAAAGAGTGTTGCATATCTTCCTCCATCTTTAATATTAAAATGACTGCACAAAAATTCACCAACTTGGATGTTTTTTTAATGCACTGCTGTTTTGACAGCTGTCACAATACAATCTAACAAAATTGTTTCAAATGAACTTAAAGACAACTAAGCACTCCTAGAGCCACTTGTACAGAAAAAACTAAACCAACTTTTTGGCTAACTCAATAGTTTTCCATCCAGGTTTTAATTTTAAGATTTCAAACACATGTAAATATATTTAATATACATATACATGCAACACACACACACAAATCTCAACACACACCTCCCAATCTCAAAATGTTCTTTGTTTTGTTCCTGTATCTCAATACATGGGACTTCCTTCTCTCCAATCCTTTCCAAGTCAGAACTTTTCTTTCTCACTTACCACATTAAAAATACATACTATGTCACACAGATATTTCCAGCATGACCTCACTTTCAAACCTCCCCTCTTCTTCCATCCTGCAGGCTGTTATTTTGTGCACTCAGTTCCACCCTGTTTTCACAACTCCCTGTCCCTATTCTTGTGCCCCATCCAGTCAGTCTTGAAATGATGACAGTGTGATCTAAGATACAGGTCCACTGGTGTTATCATGTGCCTAAAAATCTTCACTCTCACTGCTTACAAGGCAAGTTTGAGGGTTTAATGAAGCCATATAGACCCTCCTTTAATTTTCCTTACCCTTCTGCCTCTTTTATCTATCCCCTCTTCTCACACTAACTTCTGGGCACATTTCAATACACAAAGTTCCCTGAACAGAAAACGCCCCTCATGACTCCACACATGGGCACACACAGCTTCCTTCTCTTTCTTCTAACTAACTCCTAAAAGACTCGTGGAAGGTGCCGGCTCACCCATGAAGCCCTCCATGTCTACTCTGGGTGAGATTTACCCCTACACACATGGAGGCTTGTACCCACCCCAGAACCTCTCTACCATACAATTTTGTACACTTAAGATGTAACTGTCTACCCACTTGTTTGTCTTTGATCCACGAATCTGTAAAATCCTAGAAGGCAAGGGTATGCTTATTCTCTGTAAATAACAGTTACATAGTGCCTAGGAGAACTAAGTAGGTATTCAATAAGTGACTACTTAATGCAAGAACAAACAAATTCTACAAAAAATAACTGTGACTACATTTATGAGGTACTATGTTCCTATCTGAATTAATTTCTAATAGTTGGTAATCAAGTAAGTTAACTGAATGTGAATTTGAACATAATTTTGTTTACATAAATTAATCCCTCCCAAGAACTGTAACTCAGTTTAAAAATTAAAATTCTAAAATTTATACTGTAAACTCAGTCGAGTTCAAACATTGACATAATGAACACAAAAAAACTGGCCATCAAATTTTAACCCAAATGTTAGGAAGTTCAAAATAAGTGTGACCTTAAAGCTTTAAGATGACCAACTGCATCCTGTAATCACTGGGCATTTGCTAATAAGGTTGGGGGTTTCTCCATGTTCTGCTCATTAAAAAAATTTAAAAAAAATAAAGACTCTTTCAATGGCTTTATTACTTTAATATGCAAGTTAATGTACCTTGTGTTAGGTTACAAAATAGATATATGAAGTTTAGTTGAAAACAATCTAATGCTTAATGATTTTAAATTCAAATAAACATCACAAAGTAAGTTCTGATTTCCCTTGAGAAAACTAAATTGTATACACTGGAGCTAATCAAGTTATTTTAATCATTTTTTTCAGCTTTAGAAAGACTCTATGCCACTATGAAACTAACATGATGTGAAAATTCCCAATGAGGTTATGCTCTTTCCAAAACATAATGTGTGTGCAATTCACTCATACCTGCAAAATGCAAATGCATTAATACTGAACAACTAATAAAATGAAGATGATAACCTTCTTTCTCCCCCACTTCCAAATAAAGAGATGAGTATGGCTGATAGGATATATATCAACATACTATCATGGGAAGAAACTTCAGAGAGTAGTGTCCACATAAAGTGATTAAACACATAATTAGAGTAGATATAGAATTTAACACAACAAATCTTAGTGTCAATGATAATTATACTTTGGTTACAAGTATAGTTATATACTTAAATAAGTATAAATAATTAAAATAGCACTCTTCTTAGTAAAACTAAATTAATATACACATTTATGAATTTCCAAAAATTTTCCTTATAGCTTTTGTTATTTCTGATATTTTGTTACATATCAGTTTATTGTCAGTTCTCATGCAGAAAATGCATGACTCAGTTCTCATGAAGAAACATGTGACTTGTGGACTCAACTTTAACTCTCTATTCCCCCTGCCCTATTTCCAGCACCAAGATCAGAGGCTGGTACACAACAGACACTTGATACATACACAGCAAACTAATAACCCAATATTTTCTTGCAGCTCTCTCACTGACAATATTTTCTTCCCAAATTAAAAACACCAAAATATATTTCTAATTTAATTTTAGGAAAACAAAAAAGTTACTGCCCCTTCCAAAGTACCAGGTCAATCCTTTGACTCGCCTCTGAATTTATAAGCTAACTCAGTGGCATAATCTACAGATTAAAAGGTATAAACATTTTTATATTAAAAATACACTTAAAGAAATTGAAAATATAGAATTAAGAAATTTCTACCTTCTAAAGTATTAAGGAAATCTGTAAAATAAAGAAGGAATTAGAAGAATTCATGGTAATTTGGAAATAAACAGGAAGAATAAAGGCATCCTTTTATACTTTTCGGGGATACCAAAGACACTACCATAGCATATTAAAATGAAGCTGGATCATGTAGGTCTCAAGTTTTTGTTTTTGTTTTTAACCTGCACAGTAATTAAAAAAGTTACAATTAAGTCAAAACTATATTACAACAAATAGCCATGACTCTTAATTATAAACATGTGACCAATAGCACAGTAAATGAAATACATACATAATTGTATACATGCTAAAAAAGTAAATTCTCTTCAATATCATCCCAGAGTTTACTGCTTCTAAAGACACGAAGCACACTGCATTCCCCTAGACTCTACTATGGGCTTGTAACATCTGCAAAATAGTCTTTAATCTATTTTAATATACATTTTACAATATAGATTCTTTCAATATGTTATTTAAATTTTTATGTACGTAAAGGAAGAAGAAAATGGTAAAAGTTAAGTTATAGAATTTAAATGAGTTTTACTGGGAGAAAAATGGCATTTAACTGAAGTGACTATGTTTTTATTTTTCACTGATGTGCTTACAAATATAAAAGGCTCTAATTCGGTCCAATGGAGGTACCACTTAAAAACAGTAAGAATGACACTACGAGTTCCAGGGGTTGAATAAAACCTCTGTGATACTTACCATACTGTGTAACAAATGCTATACAGCTGTTCACGATAATGGGAACGTCGTTTTTGCTGAGCTGCTGATCCTGTAAAGCATTACCATCTGTACCTGCTGCTTTTTCAATTGCAGTATGCCAGACTGTGAAATCCAACTTGGTGTGCCCATGGATGTATAACGTCCTGTAAAGTTTAAAAGCATTTCAAATTATAATTTTGCTAAAAAAAAATTCTTCTAGACAAATGATCCTTAAATCCATATTCTTGTGATCTCATCTCACCCATGAGAAGAAAAACCCTCCATCTGCCATCAGCTTCCACTCGAAACGCCTCTTTTTCCTGCACACTCACATCCCTCCTGGAGCAGAGAAAGGCCTCTGACTTTTTGGGATCTCACCTCCTTTCATGTCCCAACCCCTGTTACTCTCTTTCTGAACAAATCAACTGAAACTGTTCTGGTAAGAACCACCAGTGACTTCCACTGGATGTATGTGGCTATATGTTTCAAAATTTTAGAACTGCTGATGATTTCATTTCTTAAAAAGGGAAATCTCACCCAATTTGGCTCTGTAGCACCATTCTTTTTGGCTCTTCCACCTATCTTTCTTTTCCGAGCTCACTTACTCTTTCAGAAAATGAAGGCAGACCCTCAGTGAGCTCACATGAACGCCAAGGCCTCGCCAGGGACCTGTCCTCCAGGACAACGGTTCCGTCCCTTGTGGGTAAATTAGTCACTCCCAAATCCCTAGCTCCAGGCTGTGATTTTGTCTTACAAACCAGACCTCCATGTAATCAAAAAGCAAAAGCTTAAAACAGCAGAGAGTAGGCAATTCGATCGCTTCCAGAAATCAAACTCTTAGCTCTACACTCACTTCCTCTGTGACCTGGGGGAAGTTATCAACCCTCTTTGGGCCCTATGTTCACCACTGGGAAAACGAGGATAATAATAGCACCTATCTTGGCACTGGATACAAGTAAAATGAATAATAATAAACCATAATATTAAGTTATATTAATTTTTGGACACCTTCACCACAATGTGCCATAAGCATCTCAAACCTCTGCCTCCTCCTTCCAAGCTGGTCCTACAATGCTCCACCTGTCCTACCAGAAATTTAGGATTAATTGTAAATTAGTCTCTCCCACCCCTCACCTCATCACTGTCACATGAATTCAATCACAAAATGCAGTTGGTTCCAGGTCCCTAACATATTCATTTTGCCTCTTCTTTGTTTCAACATCGCCTTATTTCAGGCCCTTACTGTTCCTTGAAATCAGTAAAACCCCTCCGCATGGAATGCCTTTCCCAATTCTCTAAATCCTCTCTTTGGGGATGCCTGATGATCTTTTTAAAAGGTAAAGCTAAAGACATCACTTCTTGATCATTGTTCTTCTTCAGCTCTGGAGTTTTCAAAACAAGAAGGTCTTCATGACGTGGCTCATCCTTCCCCTTGTACTTTGCCATTCCCCTACACTCGTGTCACTCTAAGAAATTGTATCTCCTTATCTGCGTAACAGATACTTAATAAACATTTCCTGCTCTTTGGCTGGCAACTCCAAATCTTCCCCCAGGTGTACTCCAGGTGACCCTCCCCGACACTCTACACCTGTGTCCCTGCTGGGCTTTAGTTTGTTACAGGTGCCCCTTCTTAATCCGGAGCAGCTCCTCTGCCCTCCATTATGCCACCTAATCTATGTTTGAGAATATTTTATGTATTGATTTGAGAGAGAGACAGGAATGGGGAGGCGGTGAGAGAAAGACAAACGTCAATTTGTTGTTCCACTTATTTATGCATTCACTGTTTGATTCTTGTATGCGCCCTGACAGGGTATCAAACCTGCAACCTTGGGGTATTGGGGCAACCCTCTAATCAGCTGTGCCACCCAGCCAGGGCTGAGACTATTTTAGCTACTAGACTCCAAATGTCACGCAGGTGAGCAAGGTAAGCATTTCAGTCGCTTCAGTCATCAGCACAGTGCCTGACATTTAGTAGGTACATAGTAATTGTAAAGTCCAATCACTAGATATAAAAACTGATTTGAAAAACAAGATAAAGTAATCACCGCTGTATTTATGTATATTTATGTATATGTATACATATTTATGTATATGTATTTACACCAAAGTAAAAACATTTAATCTAAATTTCCAACTATGAGAGGGCTACTTTGGATTCAACCAAAGAGAAGGGAATGAGCTGCATAAATGCTGGGTCACTGTGGGGTTTTTGTTGTTTTTTGGGAGCAGGGTAATCTTATTTTCCTGATAATTAACTGGCCCTAATTTAATTTATAATCAAAATAAAAGGCCTTTTTCCCCATTTGTTTCTTTTCTTGAAATGCTCTTCTAAGGAGACAAAGTTACTGGCATCTCACCACACACAGTCTTTGGAACTTGCTGTAACTACCAGTACTTCATTAATGTCTGTAATCTTCATCTTGTGCTTTCTGACATCTTTATCTTTTGTTTTTATTTTCCAGCATCACTATAGCAGCCCTGACCTCCAGGTTTTGTCGTTTTCTTCCTCAAGAATTCTGCTACTTTAATATTCCTGACATGCTTTAGCATGTTCATTTATCTGACATCATCTTTAGCTTAAAAGTATGGGAATATTTGTCTAAATGAAATTGAGAAATATCAAGCCCTTACACTGCTAGACCTAACTGAAATTACCTCTTGCTAAATTCAGAAGTTTAGGTAGACAGAAGATTTTAATTTTAAATCATAATATCTTTTTAACCTTATGATTAAGCTCTAAATTTGATATAAAATATGTGAAGCTGTTTGTTTTTAAACAAAGTACTACAGTGGGCATTTCAGCAAGTAGTGAAAAAAATCAAAAATGCAATGGCCCTCCCACACTACCAGTAGAATCCTGCCATTAACTATGAATGTTTCAAACTTCAAACTTCCTTTGCAGTCAGAAGAAATCCCATGATGACAAGTTTAGCTGTCTCCTTGTGAACTAGTGAGGGGTAGAATGAATGACAAGTTAACTCCGGAGTCAACTTGTCAAGGATTGAATCCTAAAGTGTATCATCTAGTTCAGCGTATGTCTGACATTTAACAGCATCAGTTCAACAACTTTCCTCTCCGAAGCTTATCTGGACTCTGTGCACATTGAACAAGCCATCAAAACATATTTCCAACACAAATGCTGGTGAAGTGGGGGACTTCAAGTGTTCCCAAACAACCATTTTACATTTCTGAATGTGAATTCCAAAGAAACATTCATATACATCTTGAAAATATGGGAGGTTATTTTGAAGAACTCTACTTATAGAGATCATTGTTCTTATTGCCCATTTCTCAAGCATAAATGTAAAGGGTACTCTAAGCTATATAAAAAAAATCCCAATATCCTATAATGAATCGAGACAGTTCAAGACAACCCAAAAACCAAGTCCCAGGACTAATAAAAGCAATTTTCTCAAAATTGCAATATAGTAATCACAAAGTATAGTCTATCATATCTGAGGCTAGTCTACTTAACAAGAACCAGCAGTATCTTCAAAAATAATAGAACCAATAAATATGTATAAAAATAAATTCACTTATATAACATTTTAAACACAACTAAGAAGCAAATAACAGCTAACAAACTCTACAAAAATGATTGAAAAAGATAATACCCTAAAAAGTTATGCAAAAAAACCCCACACAAACAAAAAACATAACCAACAAATCTTCTAGTGTAAGCCAGCATTTATTTGGCCCACAAATACTTCATTTTCCTTCATTTCTGGGAGATATTTTTGTTGAATAGAGCATAGGTTAATAGCCACTAGTCTGCTTATTTTGCCTTGAGGTTTTTGTTTTTTCTTTTTAAGTTTTTGCCAGCATTTTGAAAGACTTAACTATACTATCTGCTGGTTTCCATTGTTTCTAAAAAAGACATTCTCATCTTTGTCCCCTATACTTAATGTGTGTTTTCCTCTGGGACTTTTAACTTCACACTGGTTTTCTGGAATTTGATTACGATATGTCTTGATGTGTTTTGTCTTTATCATGCTTGAGGTATGTTGATTTTAGAACATATGGGTTTATAGTTTTTATCAAACTGAAAGTTTTTAATCCATTTTTCTCTTCTCTCATTTTTGGATTCTAATAATACTGAGATTGCTTAATACTGTCCCACAGGTCACTGAGATTTTATTTAGTGGTGATTTTATTTAGTCTTTTCTCTCTGTGCTTAAGTTTTGATCTTTTCTTTTGTCGTGCCTTCAAAATCATTAATTCTTTTTTTTTTATGTAGAGTATATTCTTACATTCAACCAATCCAGTAAATTTTTTTCAGATACTGTATTCTTTAGCTTTAGAAGTTCCAGTTGGTTCTTTAGTTAGTTATCCATTTTTTCTTGTGATGTTTGTGTTTTCCTTTACATCTGTGAAAATATTTATAATATTTAAAAGTCACTGTTTAGATTCTTTGCTAATTCCATTTTCTTTCCCATTTCCAGGTCAGTTCCTATCAATCGATTTGCAGCTTTTTCACATCACTAGTCACTTTCAGCATATGCTAAAACTTGGTGAGTGTTAAACTGAGTGGCAGGACTGTGTTGTCTTCCCTTAGAATGTGTTGGCATCCTTTGCCTATCTGACCCAGGCCAGTAATTAAGTACCTGTAGAGAAGCTGATCCTTTGGAGGTCTATTTTGTAAGCTTAATCAGGTACAAATAGAGCAGCCTTTACTCTAGGGCTGGCTTGGCCTTGATACCATGGAGTTACATTTCTGGGATCTTTACTAATGCCCTCTGTGTTTAATGAGGCCTGTCTACCATGGCTGGGTGAAATGTGAACGTACCCCAATACTGCCTAAGCTCTGTGAATTGTTTGACTCCTGGCACAACCATGAGAGTTACGTCTTCCTGGCCTCTTGCGGTTTCACCCTGCAAATACACAGATGACCACTGAGCCAAGACGAAAGTGAACTCCTATGAAGATTTCTGAAACGCTTTCTCTACATCTCACCCTCTGTGCTGGTACTCCATCCTCCAAAGTTTAGTGATGACAGATTCACTGAACTCCTGTTTCTATCTCTTTGATGCAGCAAAACCACCAGATTCTGCTTGAGTCTCCCCATTCCTTATGCCATGGCCTGAAACATGCCTACAGACAGGAAGCTAAGGTGATCTTGAGTCTTACTTCATTTGTTTCCCAACAAATTGTCCCAAAGCCTGAA